AGCTCTTTGCTGAGCGTGTCGATAATCGTGCTCTCTGTGCCCAGGCTCAAGCTGAATCACTTCGTTACAAGCTATTGGGTGGTCTTCCTGTTCGTAGGGCTGCTTATGGTGTATTAAGGTTTGTTATGGAGAATGGTGCTAAGGGTGTTGAGGTTACTGTATCTGGTAAACTACGTGCCCAACGTGCTAAGGTTATGAAGTTTGCTGATGGTTATCTCCTATCTACTGGTACTCCTAAGGAGATGTATGTTGATCAAGCTATTCGTAATGTCGATATGCGTCAGGGTATTCTTGGTATCAGAGTTAAGATTATGATGGCTTATGATCCTGAGGGTAAGAGTGGTCCCAAGACTCGTCTACCTGATGATATCACCATTCATGAGCCTAAGGAGGATACCGTCTTCCCTATCGAGGCTACTACCACCGAGGAGGAAGTGCCAGCAGCAGCAGCAGCTCCTGAGGCCGTTGTGGCTGAGGAGCAGCAACAGCCTGCTGCTGCTGTGGGGATCACCGCTTAAGTAGCTGATGCTTTGGTTATGATGATGATGAACGATTACATAGTTGATGACGAGCCGCTACTTGCTATCCTGCTTCGGATTATATTATTGTTGTGTTCAGTACTAGTAGGATTAAACTGATTAAGCTTGCGGATTCTCATGTGAATCGTTCAAGGATAATGCTATTAGGCTCGTTATTCACGATACGAAAGTGGGTTACTCTTTATTTCGTAGTGCAGTAGCTAAGCAGTTCTCATGTGGTATAATCTCATCTGCTAGTATGCTATTTGTGTTTCAATCTGATCTAGCAGAAGCAGCAGTGTAGGTGGTTTGTATCCGGTCGTTGTCATCGTCGTCGTGTTGTTGTTGTTCAAGTTCCTATGATGCTTCTTTCCGATATTATGTGTTCGACAATGGTATAGTCACGTTCTATTGATACCCTATAGCAGCAGCCTCTTCATGTTGATAATATTCGACTTGTCCATTCACTGTATTCACCCCTGTTGATACCTTGTTATCTCTCTGCTCTGAGCCTCCTTCTGTGCCATCATCCCTTCATCATCATCGTCATGTCAATGGATCTCTCCAATCCTCTCGTGAGGTCTACAACATAGTCGTCAATACGACTATAATACCTTGCTGTCTGCTGATATCACTCTAGTGTAGTAATGATACTACCATCATCATGTGAGTGGTCGCGAGAAGTATACCCACCTTCACTAACATCATATGTATCATATACATCTGTTGTATACGAGGACGGGTATGATCCAACAACGATAATGATGTTCAGTACACCAGTATAAGGCATTTTTGCTCCAACGCTTACTGCTGCCACTTAGTAGCGTTCTTCGGCAGTGTTCAGCAACTTCTGTAGGCAACAACTGCTTGTGGTGTTGTCGACTAAGTTGCTATATCATCGAACCATGGTTGGGTGATTTGTCAACCTTCATCATCCTCCGTATGCTGTTTATTCCTAATCATCAACTTTGTTTTGATATGATGATACTACATCAGCATGAT